GAGGAGAGAGGACAGAGGACAGAGGACAGAGGAGAGAGGACAGAGGACAGAGGAGAGAGGAGAGAGGAGCGAGGACAGAGGACAGAGGACAGAGGAGAGAGGACAGAGGACAGAGGAGAGAGGACAGAGGACAGGACAGAGGAGAGAGGACAGAGGACAGAGGACAGAGGAGAGAGGAGAGAGGAGAGAGGACAGAGGAGAGAGGAGAGAGGAGAGAGGACAGAGGAGAGAGGAGAGAGGACAGAGGACAGAGGAGAGAGGAGAGAGGAGAGAGGAGAGAGGACAGAGGACAGGAGAGAGGACAGAGGACAGAGGAGAGAGGAGAGAGGACAGAGGACAGGACAGAGGAGAGAGGAGAGAGGAGAGAGGACAGAGGACAGAGGAGAGAGGAGAGAGGACAGGACAGAGGAGAGAGGAGAGAGGACAGAGGAGAGAGGACAGAGGAGAGAGGACAGAGGACAGAGGACAGAGGACAGAGGACAGAGGAGAGAGGACAGAGGACAGAGGAGAGAGGACAGAGGACAGGACAGAGGAGAGAGGACAGAGGACAGAGGACAGAGGAGAGAGGAGGAGAGAGGACAGAGGAGAGAGGAGAGAGGACAGAGGACAGGACAGAGGAGAGAGGAGAGAGGACAGAGGAGAGAGGAAAGAGGAGAGAGGACAGAGGAGAGAGGACAGAGGACAGGACAGAGGAGAGAGGACAGAGGACAGAGGACAGAGGACAGAGGAGAGAGGAGGAGAGAGGACAGAGGAGAGAGGAGAGAGGACAGAGGACAGAGGAGAGAGGACAGAGGACAGAGGACAGAGGAGAGAGGACAGAGGACAGAGGAGAGAGGACAGAGGACAGAGGAGAGAGGAGAGAGGAGCGAGGACAGAGGACAGAGGACAGAGGACAGAGGACAGAGGAGAGAGGACAGAGGACAGAGGACAGGACAGAGGAGAGAGGACAGAGGACAGAGGAGAGAGGAGAGAGGAGAGAGGACAGAGGAGAGAGGAGAGAGGAGAGAGGAGAGAGGACAGAGAGGACAGAGGAGAGAGGAGAGAGGACAGAGGACAGAGGACAGAGGAGAGAGGAGAGAGGAGAGAGGAGAGAGGAGAGAGGAGAGAGGACAGGAGAGAGGACAGAGGACAGAGGAGAGAGGAGAGAGGACAGAGGACAGGACAGAGGAGAGAGGAGAGAGGACAGAGGACAGAGGAGAGAGGAGAGAGGACAGGACAGAGGAGAGAGGAGAGAGGACAGAGGAGAGGAGAGAGGACAGAGGACAGAGGAGAGAGGACAGAGGACAGAGGACAGAGGACAGAGGACAGAGGAGAGAGGACAGAGGACAGAGGACAGAGGAGAGAGGACAGAGGACAGGACAGAGGAGAGAGGAGAGAGGACAGAGGACAGAGGACAGAGGAGAGAGGAGGAGAGAGGACAGAGGAGAGAGGAGAGAGGACAGAGGACAGGACAGAGGAGAGAGGAGAGAGGACAGAGGAGAGAGGAAAGAGGAGAGAGGACAGAGGAGAGAGGACAGAGGACAGGACAGAGGAGAGAGGACAGAGGACAGAGGACAGAGGAGAGAGGAGGAGAGAGGACAGAGGAGAGAGGAGAGAGGACAGAGGACAGAGGAGAGAGGACAGAGGACAGAGGACAGAGGAGAGAGGACAGAGGACAGAGGACAGGACAGAGGAGAGAGGACAGAGGACAGAGGAGGAGAGAGGACAGAGGACAGGACAGAGGAGAGAGGACAGAGGAGAGAGGAGAGAGGACAGAGGAGAGAGGACAGAGGACAGAGGAGAGAGGACAGAGGACAGGACAGAGGAGAGAGGACAGAGGAGAGAGGAGAGAGGACAGAGGAGAGAGGACAGAGGACAGGACAGAGGAGAGAGGAGAGAGGACAGAGGACAGAGGACAGAGGAGAGAGGAGGAGAGAGGACAGAGGAGAGAGGACAGGACAGAGGAGAGAGGAGAGAGGAGAGAGGACAGAGGACAGAGGACAGAGGAGAGAGGACAGAGGAGAGAGGAGAGAGGAGAGAGGAGAGAGGACAGAGGAGAGAGGACAGAGGACAGAGGAGAGAGGACAGAGGAGAGGACAGAGGAGAGAGGACAGAGGACAGAGGAGAGAGGAGAGAGGAGAGAGGAGAGAGGAGAGAGGAGAGAGGACAGAGGACAGAGGAGAGAGGAGAGAGGACAGAGGAGAGAGGAGAGAGGACAGAGGAGAGACAGAGGAGAGAGGAGAGAGGAGAGGACAGAGGACAGAGGACAGAGGAGAGAGGAGAGAGGACAGAGGACAGAGGAGAGAGGACAGAGGAGAGGACAGAGGAGAGAGGACAGAGGACAGAGGACAGAGGACAGAGGAGAGAGGACAGAGGACAGAGGACAGAGGAGAGAGGAGAGAGGACAGAGGAGAGAGGACAGAGGAGAGAGGAGAGAGGACAGAGGACAGGACAGAGGAGAGAGGACAGAGGACAGGACAGAGGAGAGAGGACAGAGGACAGAGGACAGAGGACAGAGGAGAGAGGAGAGAGGAGAGAGGACAGAGGACAGGACAGAGGAGAGAGGAGAGAGGACAGAGGAGAGAGGAGAGAGGACAGAGGACAGAGGAGAGAGGACAGAGGACAGAGGAGAGAGGAGAGAGGAGAGAGGAGAGAGGAGAGAGGAGAGAGGACAGAGGAGAGAGGACAGAGGACAGAGGAGAGAGGACAGAGGAGGAGAGAGGAGAGAGGACAGAGGACAGAGGAGAGAGGACAGAGGAGAGAGGAGAGAGGACAGAGGAGAGGACAGAGGACAGAGGAGAGAGGAGAGAGGACAGAGGACAGGAGAGAGGACAGAGGAGAGGACAGAGGAGAGAGGACAGAGGAGAGAGGAGAGAGGACAGAGGACAGAGGAGAGAGGAGAGAGGAGAGAGGAGAGAGGACAGAGGAGAGAGGACAGAGGACAGAGGAGAGAGGACAGAGGAGGAGAGAGGAGAGAGGACAGAGGACAGAGGAGAGAGGACAGAGGAGAGAGGACAGAGGAGAGAGGACAGAGGAGAGGACAGAGGACAGAGGAGAGAGGAGAGAGGACAGAGGACAGAGGAGAGGACAGAGGAGAGAGGACAGAGGAGAGAGGAGAGAGGACAGAGGACAGAGGACAGAGGAGAGAGGAGAGAGGACAGAGGACAGAGGACAGAGGACAGAGGACAGAGGAGAGAGGAGAGAGGACAGAGGACAGAGGACAGAGGAGAGAGGAGGAGAGAGGAGAGAGGACAGAGGACAGAGGAGAGAGGAGAGAGGACAGAGGAGAGAGGAGAGAGGACAGAGGACAGGACAGAGGAGAGAGGAGAGAGGACAGAGGACAGAGGAGAGAGGAGAGAGGAGAGAGGACAGAGGACAGGACAGAGGAGAGAGGAGAGAGGACAGAGGACAGGACAGAGGAGAGAGGAGAGAGGACAGAGGACAGAGGAGAGAGGAGAGAGGAGAGAGGAGAGAGGACAGAGGAGAGAGGACAGAGGACAGAGGAGAGAGGACAGAGGAGGAGAGAGGAGAGAGGAGAGAGGACAGAGGACAGAGGAGAGAGGACAGGAGAGAGGACAGAGGAGAGAGGACAGAGGACAGAGGACAGAGGAGAGAGGAGAGAGGAGAGAGGACAGAGGAGAGAGGACAGAGGACAGAGGACAGGAGAGAGGACAGAGGACAGGAGAGAGGACAGAGGACAGAGGAGAGAGGAGAGAGGACAGAGGACAGAGGAGAGAGGACAGAGGACAGGACAGAGGACAGAGGACAGGAGAGAGGACAGGACAGAGGACAGAGGAGAGAGGAGAGAGGACAGAGGAGAGAGGAGAGAGGACAGAGGAGAGAGGACAGAGGACAGGAGGACAGGAGGACAGAGGACAGGAGAGAGGACAGAGGACAGAGGAGAGAGGAGAGAGGACAGAGGACAGAGGAGAGAGGACAGAGGACAGAGGACAGGACAGAGGACAGAGGACAGGAGAGAGGACAGGACAGAGGACAGAGGAGAGAGGAGAGAGGACAGAGGAGAGAGAGAGGACAGAGGAGAGAGGACAGAGGACAGAGGAGAGAGAACAGAGGAAAGAGGACAGAGGAGGAGAGAGGACAGAGGAGGAGAGAGGACAGAGGAGGAGAGAGGAGAGAGGACAGAGGAGAGAGGACAGAGGACAGAGGACAGAGGAGAGAGGAGAGAGGAGAGAGGACAGAGAGAGGACAGAGGACAGAGGACAGAGGACAGAGGACAGAGGAGAGAGGACAGAGGACAGAGGAGAAAGGACAGAGAGAGGACAGAGGACAGAGGACAGAGGAGAGAGGACAGAGGACAGAGGACAGAGGAGAGAGTCTCAAAAATCTCAAAGTTTGTTCCGTGAATTTTACAGTATTAATATTTTCTCAATTGAGTTTCTAGTTTCAATACTAGTTTTCAACAACATTTATGGACATTGGTCTCTGCTCCTTGGACTGATGGATCTAAGTGTTTTGTGTTAAAACAGTTTAATTCTCTGATCTGTGTTGGAGAATCCAGTTTTGTAAAGACCTATGAGACAACTACTGCTGTGATTTAGGGCTCTACGAGAAAACATTTAAATCGACCCAAAAGCTGATTTATATAAACGTAAACCCTGAACACAAACTCGGGCCATGTAACATTTATATCTCATTATAAAACATGTATTTATCTTGTTTTCAGTTTTCTGAGAGAGGAAGGAGTCCATAGAGAAGTACTGTATAAGGACAAACATTTGCAAAGTGCTACAGCTGCAAACTCCAAACCATGTGCCACTTTGCCGCCGCAGCCGCCCTACATTTAATACATTCATCCTCCGAGTTCAAAGCCAGTAGGTCTGCTTCACAAAGATTACACTCTTGCCTGGATTTTATTTTTTTAAACCAGGAATTCCGCATTATCTCAGGGCTCCCGCTCAGCAGACGAGTGGATGTACAATTTGGATGAAAAATGGTGTAAATAATCAAAGGCTTCTCTGTAAAGCCAGAAATAAACAGGAAACCTACAGCAGCTAATTTACTCACAGCATTTGGGTCACGTCTGCCTGAGCCTGTCGTACAAGAGACAACGCAAGTTTCTGTTTTAAATCATTCCAGGTCGATGCAAATGGAACCAAATGTGGGATTATCTTTGAAACACTGCTGCTGCTCTGAGACAGGACGTGTGTTGGACTGATATCAAACACTGGACGCAGAAACAATCAGAGCAAATTCACAAACGCCAGATGGAAATGCTAAGTGTTTTTTTATAGCTGCAGATCAAGTGGGAATAAAGAGGTGGAGAGGGAATGATCGTATTAGGGATGGAAAACATGATCAGAAACTCAGAAGTGTTTGCTGTTGTTTTAATGATTACTACAGGTCATTATGAAAATATTCAGATTTTGTGAGTAATGAGTATCAAGCATTATGGGTTTTCTGGGTTTCACCAGTGAGTCATGTGGAAGTCTCAAGTCAAACAAAAGTATAATATACATGTGAAAAACTTCCCACTCTTTTCTTTAAGTTATTTTACACAGCCCTAAATCACAACAGGAGTTATCTCAGAGGACTTTACAAAACAGTTTCGCCAACACAGGTCAGAGAATCAAACAAATGCAAGAAATGATGCAGAAACAGAGAAATTGGTTTAGAAATGTTTATAAAGTTCTGCAATATCACTGTCCTTAGAGCCTCCTGCACAGACAAGAAAAACACACAAAGAAACACAAAAATTCAAAAAGAAAAAGTACTATTTTTGAGGATACAAAAAATAGCTCATACTTAAGTCTAGCCCTCACTAATTAACAGCTAATAAAGTGCTAATATGTGTATAATGTATAGTTATTTAGCTCTTAATTGGCATTTATTAAGCACTTGTAAGTCGGGGCTAGAGTCGGGGCTCGAGTCGGGGCTCGAGTCGGGGCTCGAGTCGGGGCTAGAGTCGGGGCTAGAGTCGGGGATAGAGTCGGGGCTAGAGTCGGGGCTAGAGTCGGGGCTAGAGTCGGGGCTAGAGTCGGGGCTAGAGTCGGGGCTAGAGTCGGGGCTAGAGTCGGGGCTAGAGTCGGGGCTAGAGTCGGGGGCTAGAGTCGGGGCTCGAGTCGGGGCTAGAGTCGGGGCTAGAGTCGGGCTCGAGTCGGGGCTCGAGTCGGAGCTCGAGTCGGGGCTAGAGTCGGGGCTAGAGTCGGGGCTAGAGTCGGGGCTAGAGTCGGGGCTAGAGTCACGTGAGTTCAGAGAAACAACAGTCTGCATTAGGTTCTCAGGTACTAAACTGCTGTTTCCTCTTTCAGAAACATGTCCCTGAAGACCCCCTGCGGCTCCAGATAAAGCCACACAGATAATTGTAGCAGAGAACAGAGACGCAATCGTTATTACGGCCGTTTGAAGACGGAAACATCAGCTTCATGAAAGAGTGGAGGTGACCGGCTTTACTCCAGATTTACTGTAATTAGGAGATGTCTGAAAGTTTAATCTTTGGGTTTTATGCTCTTGTTCAGGACTGAGCTCAAGCGCGGTGCAAGAAAATACACTTGAAATGATTTTAACGAAAAAGAATGTCGTGGAAACATGGAATCCTTGGTTTGGATTCGAGACAGAACTCATGGAGAAATTGGTCTCGTTAAGATCCGACTTCTGCTAAAACACAGAAGAATGTGTAAAAGGCTCATGCCATAACGTCAGAGAGAAGTCTGGTTCTCAACAAAGAGAATGATTAAGACTGAGATGATAAAAACTATGAGCATTGAGCCTTAGTAGTAAGTATTTTTTATTTATATAGCACCTTTCACAGACCAGAGCTTTACAGTTGTTGTGTTTTTTGGTATTTGTCTCAGTCCTCAGAGAGTTGGCACAGGTCACCTACAGCAGTGCACAGACCTAATGTACGTGTTTTCAGTGGCAGGGGAAACTGAAGCACAAAGGGGAAACCTACACAGGTACGGAGAGAACATGCAAACTCCACTCAGAAAGGCCCTGTTCCAACCGGGATTCGAACCCAGGACCTTCTTTCTGAGCAGCGAGAGTGCTAACCACTCAGCTGCGACCTGTTTTAAATTGTAATGTTTGCAGCACATTTACAGAATGTCCCTTTTCAGATAAACTCATAAATAACATGATTTTAGGTTAAAGACCTTATGACGGGTTTAAAAAAAAAAAATAGTGGATATCAAAATTGCATGACAATGTCAATTTGAAAGAGATTCCGGCAAAAAAAATCCTATATTTTATAAAAAGAACGTGTTTTTCATGAATTTAAGTTGTCTATGCTCTAACCTGTGTGTGACGTCATAGCGGGTTACGCCCATGCATTGAAAACCATGGATCTATGCCACAGGACTGCCTTTTCTCTCTTCTCTCCACTGGTGCCCAACACAATACTGCCCTAGGTGACAATTGCTCACTACACATAAATTGCCGTTTTGAGTGTGAAAAAGTGTCCGAGGTGGGAATTGAACCCAAGTATCTGGGTGGACAGTCCATTGACACAACCACTGGACTATCTCAGTGACAATGAAATGTTACACTCTAGTAGTTATCTTAGACTCGCTGTACACGGCCTTGTCATCTTGAATATCCGCGAAAAAAGAACGAATACCAAATTGTAAACAACTTACAGCGTTGAAACGTACCCGTTCTGACGTCACCAAGGGCTGTGAAGTTTTTTCGTTTCTAAGGGCGTTGCTATGGGGTTATTTCGATTTGGGGGGATCAGACAAAAAAAACAACAACTGATTTTGAAACCTTTAGTAGTTCTCTTCTAATATAAAATGGTATTAAAACTGTATTTCTAAATAAATCAAACCCGTCATAAGGTCTTTAAATGTTGACTTTACAGGAAACTGAGCGGAGGAAAAACTAGGATTATAAAAGTATCGTCAGAAAACCAGAAGCAGAGAATAAAAACCATATTTGAAAACTTTAAAGCTTTAAACCACTTCTCATTTTGACTTTCCTAAACTTTGTCTTAATGTTTATTTTAGTATGTTTTGTAAAGCACTATAGTTTAAATGTAAAAACAGATAAATGCCATGGAAAACATAAGCCAGATGTATTTTAGTGCCATACAGATAAAGTGTCCTCCCTTCCTGCTTCAGTGCCGTTAACAACGTGATGAAGATTGTAACAAGAGGAATACAACATTTGGACATTTAGAGACATCTGTTTTTATAAATGAACTCTTCAAATTTGGTGTTTTATTATCAGTATGTTCAGTGGAAGGACCTCCACATTTCTCTTTTTATCAGATCAATGAATCCAACAGGTTCCAAACGGCTCAGACGGCGGCGGCGGCGGCGGCAGATCCCAGAGACAGTCACTGACACACATCGAGCGGCGCCGTCAAAACGAGCGACTAATCAACAGGAAATCACAAACACAGAACAGAATATTCAGATTCTACAGCTTCAAAGGAACGAGGAAGAGGATAAAGAAGGAAGTGGGTTTAGGAGAAGGCCCTGTGCTCTGGGTTTGAGACCACAGAGAAGGCCCTGTGCTCTGGGTTTGAGACCACAGAGAAGGCCCTGTGCTCTGGGTTTGAGACCACAGAGAAGGCCCTGTGCTCTGGGTTTAAGACCACAGAGAAGGCCCTGTGCTCTGGGTTTGAGACCACAGAGAAGGCCCTGTGCTCTGGGTTTGAGACCACAGAGAAGGCCCTGTGCTCTGGGTTTGAGACCACAGAGAAGGCCCTGTGCTCTGGGTTTAAGACCACAGAGAAGGCCCTGTGCTCTGGGTTTAAGACCACAGAGAAGGCCCTGTGCTCTGGGTTTGAGACCACAGAGAAGGCCCTGTGCTCTGGGTTTGAGACCACAGAGAAGGCCCTGTGCTCTGGGTTTAAGACCACAGAGAAGGCCCTGTGCTCTGGGTTTGAGACCACAGAGAAGGCCCTGTGCTCTGGGTTTGAGACCACAGAGAAGGCCCTGTGCTCTGGGTTTGAGACCACAGAGAAGGCCCTGTGATTAGTGTTTTCGTAAATGCTGATTCATAAATTATGAACCAAAACCAGTGAAAGTTCAGAAAACATCTCAAAACCCACTCAAATCATGTCTAACTCATTATAAAATGGGTCAAAAAGTGTTTTAACAGTTATTTATGCTGCAGAATAACTGGTTAATAGCTGGTGCTATGAGACTTGGGTGGCATCTCTGACTGCCACCCCCCTGACCCAGAAATGGATTAAAGGGTAGAAAATGGAAAAAATGGAATAACTGGTTAATATTAGTAAATAGAATCTGAGCAGCGCTGATATTACCAGTGTGTTGGAAGGTGGAGACCCCCCAGGGAGAGGTCATGGTTTTGGAGATCCACAACAACAAAACCATGTATCGTCTAAAAAAAACATGTTTTAGTACAATGTGCAGTTCATCGGCGGCTTTTTCCGAGAAGAATCAACAAACTTTACCACCAGTCCCCACAAGACTCCAAACTTTCATAGATGTTAATGGGAAAAAGGATAAGATGAACTTCATTGATCTAACAATGGAGAAATGTACAAGTATACATGCTATTGGGTTTCTTCTGTCACTATAACTACAATAAGTTCAACCAAAAGATTATTATTTTACCATAAATTACTTCACACGACCACTAACAATGAGTGAAATCAAAATGTCTTCCAGCACAGTTGTTTTTGGAGTCTGTGTGACTGAGTATTGGAAAACAAGTCTACCATTGAGATCAATATTGTGGCAAAACAAGAAAGATTACTGCTCTGACATTAAAGGTACACTGTAGTTTTTACTGCCATCTAGCGGTGAGATCATATATTGCAGTCTACGATACAACGGTAGCTTCAAAGGACAATATGTGGTCTTTGACAGTGGTCCCCAACTCCCGCTCATTCCAACCGGGGCCAGAGAAAGAATCCTTTAGTTTGAGAAATAACCGGATCCCTCCAAAATACTCGGCCACTTTTTGTACCTTATCAGCCACCGTATTCCAAGATGGCGGATCCTCGGCCTCATGGACATTTAGGCCCAGTCCCAATACCCACACTGCACCCTACGCCCTCCTATGAAGTGTGCATTTGTTTGAAGTGCGCGCAAGGGTTTGAGTGCGCAGGTTGCAAGCGTGCACAAAAGGCGGAATTGGGACAGTGCACACTGAGTGCAGTTTACGTCATCGACTCGTCAAGAGATGGTCATTTTCAGACCTAAACTTTATAAAAATTAAAGGTAATTTTGTCTGACCCTTTGGGAAACAATATGAATTGCTTCACACACGTTAAAATACATGTATATTAGTTGTTTTTAATTAGAGATAGCTGTATAATGTTAAGTTAAATGTGGGTAACTAACTATCTGGTCAGTTTTTATACATTCTAAGATTATTGTACTAAGTGTAAAGTTTAAATTGAATGTTATATAAACGCTTGCTTTAAAAAGTTATTAAATTGTTAAAGCACAATGTCCGTAATTCTTCATCAGACGTTTATGCTTCTTTCCAAGTAACATAGCAAAACTTATTTACACACATACTGCATATATATTTCAAAATTTATATTTAATTTCATTTTCCCGTCGTTTTGGTGTGTACTGCAAAGAATTATGGGCAATATCCTTCGCCAGAGTGCGCATAGATGCAGGCTACGGCGAAGTGTGGATCAGGGGCGCAAAGGGGGCGGGGCCAAATACCTCCCTGGAGAATTGGGAAACCCTACGCACTCGCACCCTTTATCGGGAACGCACAAATGAGGGGCGCGAGGGTGGAAGTGCGAGTATTGGGACGGGGCCTTAAAAGTCAAATTTGGAGTCTATGACAACAATTCAAAAACATGATGGAGGTAAAAATTCTTTAAAAGTCGAATTGTTTTTGGTTATATTGTCAAAAAAGAATTTGATACAGAAAAGCCCAAGATTTTCAGAGTTAAAAAAACAATATTTAATCCTCTTTGCGATTAAATATTAATACAAAACTCTCAGAGCTCTTATTTCCCAAACAGACCCCATGAGCTGGGCCCATTTAACCTCCAGGCCTGACAATGTACAGAGAACATCCAGGCGCTCTGCGAAGTCCTCTCTGTCCCCGGCTCAGACTGACTCACCAAATGTCCTACCAACAGTTTTTATGGAAATGTCTAGAAAAAGAGGAAGTGCCTCCGACTGCGTCATCTCACTCCTTATCGGTCTGGTCTGGTCTGGTCTGGTCTTGGGTCTCATCCCTTGTCCGTTCAGACTGACGCGTGATACAAACTGATTTTTATGCAAACACCAAATGATTAACATAAGAACACTTTATAAAAACACTTGATTAATCCT